GATAATTAGTTAATTGATCATGATATCCGGTTCTTGGTGTTTTGGTCGGGGTGGCCGGTCTGTGGGGGTGGCCAGTCTTTGGGTGACGGACGTTAATCCTCGTATTTGAGCCGGCCCACACACCTAAACTCCAATCCAGGCCCAATCCTTACTAAACACAAGGTTTCCTGCCCTGCCCTCGGGTCGGGCCCCTTACCCCGACAGGCGATGGTACGTCCGGCTGTTCCAAGTTTAGATATGGCATGGACAGATCCATTTGCCAGTGACAGATTGTACAGTATTGGACAGTGTCGCGTGTTGGAAGAATATGACAGAAGCAGTTTGACTGTTGGATGTTGTTGTTTGTCGAGGGGCCTCCAGTGGCCAGTATCTCATTTTGGCGTCCATTTCACCAGCAGCTGAAAAGACTATTTGCCTCTCATCCAGTGAAATCACCCCTATAAAGTGCATAACGCGCCTGATGCGCCACGTCCTGAATGCTACCAATATCGAGATGGGACGTTGGACTTGAACATGTGCATCTAAAAGCCCCTATAGTCCTCCGTACACAGTGCATCACATCAGCCGTATCCATTTTCGGAGTCGCCCTTTTTTTGCTGGGGCACGCTACTACGGCACTAGAGTTCAGTACCTACAGGTCCGTCCTCTACTCGCTACTCGGCTTGCTACCTCTGCCTCGCCAGCCCAGCCCAGCACAAGACCCAGTCGTTTCTTCAACTCTTGGAGAGCCTTCTTTCGAGAGCGTTTGTGTCTTGTCATTTCCCTTTGCTTTCGATTTCGCTACAGCTTCAACTGACCTGCCTCACTCGCTTTGGCTGTGTCTCTTTTACATCAATCAATCGCTACATTAATAATTTTTAACCTTGACCCAACCTCCTTGCATTAGTACTCACAGCCGCCCAGGCCGTGATACTTCATTCGATCAGCCGAAAAGGAGGGCGGCGTTGCCCAGCGACCGAAACCTTCATCTCATCATTCGACAAACTCACTCCAAGCCTTTAAGCTGCATTCAATTGCTTGCAGCCGACCGCTGGTCTATTCATTCGCTCATACTTCTAATTGTTACCCGTCTGTCGTTCCTCAGTCGTTCCTCGGACGTAATACCCTTCCACAGTCAGTTCAGTTGCACTTAGACTCGGCCGTTGAACCCAGTCCCATATACAACATCCACATCGCAACGTGCAATAATCTGTGATCGTCCCCGTCGAGGGCATCACTGTCATTGATCATGGCCAGCCGAATGTCCATGTACTCGATGGCTTCAGAGGCCTTGGGTGGTGGTCCTCAAGCCGCCCAGGTGTCCACTACAACTCTCCTAAACGCCATCCACAACATCTACCTGTCTTCTCAGCCCTATCAACTCGATGCCAGCACCAGTCTAGTTGTCAACACATGGCTTACAGCTGCTCAGGCTGGAGCTACTGTTGATGCTACTCTCGCTGCTCGAGCATGGGAACATGCTAGACGCCGTGCTGAGGACGGCTGTGTGATCTTGGGGTAAGTTTCTTCAAAATGATTAGGTTCCGCCATTGCTAACACTACACAGATCACTCCACCAGTCAACCCCTTCGTTGCTCGTGCCTTTCCTCAACACTTTCCCCTTCGCCATTCCTGCTTCCATCTACAAGTCTCTGGAAGCTTTACAACCGTTCCTCCGATGCGTTACTCCCTACAACGCTTCCGCTCCACGACAGATTGCTCTCGGAGTTACACTGACCTTGAGTTTGGGAGGAAATGTCACAGGCGCCTCTCTTGCTTTGTCCCAAGGTGGTATTGACACTGAGAACGGATTGCTCAACATCCCCGCCGAGGCTGGCTATCGTGCTTTTGATGTCTTTTACTACCTCCTCACATCAGCATCCACACCCGCCGAGCGAGAATTTTTAGGCCTCAAATCCCCTTCAGCGTACGCCCTACTGGCTCGCTCCGGTACCTATGAGCCACCATCTTACCTGATCACCGCCGACGATGGTGCTGCGGCCGATGACTTCCGTCAAGCCCTAAAGGAGATTGGCATCAAGGGTTCTGCCCACCGTAACTTCATTTCCACGCTTGCCGGTCTCCTCAAGCTTGGCAACACTCTCGACTACGATGCCGACTCAGACGATTTCGAGGAGATTTGCGAGGATGTTAGTGGTCTTCTTGGTATGGAACCAGAGGTGCTCATGCACCAGCTGAGCACTGAGGACCGCCGAACACTCGTTGGTGGTTTGTACGAGGCTCTTGTCGACTGGGTGATTTCAAAGGCCAACAGCGCTATTGCTGCTCAGATGCTTCGCATTCGAGATGGCGACGAGTCCATCGATGGCCGCGGTGTGCGCACTCCCACCTCTAACGAGGATGGTGATACCGTCTCAATCACTGTTGTGGAAGTCCCCGAACCTTCCATCGGCCGGGCCCTGGCTATGCGTACCATTTTCGATGACACCATTGGAATCAATGCTGAGATGATTGAGGATGGCGTCGAGGTCCACCCCGTTGGATCTTCTGTGGTTCGTGAGATGCAACAAGCCGTTTCTGATGTCGCACCTGATCTGGGTATCATGACTGGCCCCCAGGGAAGGGACCGTCAACATGATCTTGAGAAGCGAGAGGTCATTTTGGAGAAGGTTGCTTATGGATCCGAAGATGACAGTTTCGTGAAAAAGCTGTTGTTCCCTGTCGAGGGTGAAGGAATCAGCCTTGGTCGCGCGGGTCGTTTCGATCTGCCTGCACTTCTGAGCGCCAGTCGTACTTGGTTCCATCTTTCCCTTCATCCTACGGATGACTCTCCTGCCAACTTGGCTACTCTCCCTGCTATCACTTCGGCATGGTCAGCTGGCACAGTCTCCCGCCAGCTTCGCTCATGGAGACTTCCCGAGTGGGCTAACCGCCGCAACCGCAACCTTGATTACACAGCCGACTTCGACGTCGACGAATTCGTTGGTCGATACGGCGCTCTCGGTTGCAAGGATGGCAAGGACGGCATCGAGACCTGGATGCTGGAGAGAGGCTGGAGCAATGGCGAAGTCTTCATCGGCAAGGAGCGAATCTGGGTTCGCGAAGGTCCTTGGTGGGAGGCAGAGACCATGCTTGATATCAAGCCCGCTCACAGCCTTCAGAGTATGGGCCAAAATCCTTTCACTTCTGGCTTTGACACAAGTTATTCAGCCAACCCTCCCAATGGCAGCGGTTTCTTCCCTCCTCCTGCTATGGACAACAGCTTGAATGGAAGCAATGATCAGCTGATGCACACTCGCAACTTCAGCCAAGGCAACATGAGCCAGGTTACCTTGAACCAGCATCAGAACCTCAACCCCCAATCAGCGCCCTCAATTGCCCCCTCAGCTATGCGCAACGTCCAGACCACAGGTGACTACGGTCTCGGTACCAAGGGTGACACATACAAGGGTCAAGTCTATTACAACGAGGACGGTGAGTTCACGGGAATTTTGGATGGCGAACTTGCCAAGAACAAGAAGATCGAGTCTAAGCCTCTGCCTTTCGGTCGTCGGGCTTGGATTGCTTTCGTTTGGGCCCTGACTTTCTGGATTCCCTCGCCTCTGCTCAAGTTCATTGGCCGTATGCGACGACCCGATGTTCGCATGGCTTGGCGTGAGAAGTTTGTTCTCTTCTTTCTGATTATTCTTATCAACGGTATGGTCGTTTTCTGGATTATTGGTTTTGGAAAGCTCTTGTGCCCCAATGCAAACAAGGCATGGAATGTCAAGGAGGTCGCTACTCACGCAGAGGACGAAAAGTCCTTCTGGGTAGCCATTCACGGAAAGGTCTACGATATCACCGATTTCTGGCAACAACAGCACAGTGATACCAGCATCAAGGTCACCAAGCAAAACATGCTGCCTCTTTCCGGTATGGTCATGGATAACTACTTCATGCCTCCCCTGAACAGGGCTTGCAGAGGCCTTGGTATCAAGGAGACCACACAGCTCACCTTCAACGACACCATCACCAACCCCCTGGCCCAGCACACTTCCGGCTTTTATACCCGTGATCGTACTAGCGCTCTTCATGATCCCGACTGGTACTGGAAGAAGTTCCAACCCAAGATCAAGGAATACTACCATGGCAATCTCGTATGGAAGAAGAGCAAGGTCAAGAACGAGGGTGAAAACGAGCAGCACATGTGGGCCACCTATGGCAACGAAGTGTATGATCTCACCGATTACTTACATACTCTCGACGTCAACGACAACTTCGATTCGTACAAGTTCCTTAACGAAGATATGGTAGATCTGTGGAAGAACAGCCCTGGAACCAACATCAAGAAGGATCTCGACCTGCTCATCGCCAACGCAAAGAACGAGACTGTCAGTGCCAACCTTAAGAACAGTTGGCAGTGCATTCAGAACATTGCATACAAGGGCATCCTTGATTTCCGTGATTCTGCACGATGCCAGGTCAACAACTACCTTCTTCTGGCTTTCGCTGTCATCATTTGTATCGTTACCGCCGTCAAGTTCCTTGCTGCCCTTCAATTCGGATCCAAGCGACGTCCTTCACCTCAGGATAAGTTTGTCATCTGCCAAGTCCCTGTCTACACTGAGGGTGAAGATTCTCTCCGAAAGGCTCTCGATTCATTGACTGCCCTCCAGTACGACAACAAGCGCAAGCTCATCTGTGTCATTTGCGATGGTGTTGTCGTTGGTCAAGGTAATGATCGTCCCACCCCCAAGATTGTTCTCGACATTCTTGGTGTTGATCCCAAGGTTGATCCTCCTGCCCTTCCTTTCAAGTCTGTTGGCTCTAGCAGTGAGCAACTCAACTACGGCAAGGTTTACTCTGGTCTCTACGAGTTTGAGGGCAACGTTGTTCCCTACATCGTCGTCGTCAAGGTTGGAAAGGAGTCTGAGCAGTCCAAGGCTAAGCCTGGTAACCGTGGCAAGCGTGATTCTCAGATTCTGCTCATGAGCTTCCTCAACCGTGTCCACCACCGAGCACCCATGTCTCCCCTCGAGCTCGAAATGTTCCATCAGGTCAACAACATCATTGGTGTCGATCCTGAGCTCTATGAGTATCTTCTCATGGTCGATGCCGATACCTGTGTCGAGGAAGACTCGCTCAACCGTCTCGTTGCTGCTTGTGCTCACAACGCTAAGATCGCTGGCATTTGTGGTGAAACTGCCCTGGAGAACGATGAAAAGACTTGGTGGACCATGATCCAGGTTTACGAATACTTTATCTCTCATCATCTTGCAAAGGCCTTCGAATCTTTGTTTGGCAGTGTTACCTGTTTGCCTGGATGGTATGTTTACTAGCCCCCCTCCTGTTATCTCTATAGCTAACCTCCTTTTAGTTTCACCATGTACCGTCTCCGAAGCGTTGACAAGGGCAAGCCTCTCATCATTTCTGATGCTGTTATCAAGGACTACAGTGTTTGCGATGTCGATACCCTCCACAAGAAGAACCTTTTGTCTCTGGGTGAGGATCGTTATCTCACCACCCTGATGACCAAATACTTCCCTGAGATGTCTTACAAGTTCATTCCCGATGCCCAGTGTAAGACTGCTGCTCCCGAGTCATGGAGTGTTCTGTTGTCTCAACGTCGACGATGGATCAACTCGACCATTCACAACCTGGTTGAACTTATGCAACTGAAGGAGCTCTGTGGTTTCTGCTGTTTCAGTATGCGCTTCGTTGTGTTTATTGATCTTTGCGGTACCATTATTCTTCCCTCAACCTGTGTCTACATTGGTTACCTCATCTACATTCTGGCCACCGGCTCTGGACCCATTCCATACATCTCACTTGCTATGATTGGTGCTGTTTATGGTCTTCAGGCTCTTATCTTCATTCTCAAGAGACAGTGGCAGCACATTGGGTGGATGATCATCTACATCCTTGCTTTCCCCATCTACTCCTTCATCCTCCCCCTCTACTCCTTCTGGAACCAGGACAACTTCTCGTGGGGTAACACCCGTATCGTCATTGGAGAGAAGGGCAACAAGCAGGTTGTCGCTGTTGATGATGAAGGCTTCGACCCCCGCTCTATTCCTCTGCAGCGCTGGGACGACTACGCTCTTGCTAACAACCTGCCTGGACGTCGTGGTGGATACCAGGAGAAGACTGACTACTCCTACGGTGACAACTATGAGCTTGATGAGATCAAGTCTGTGTACTCTGCTGGTCCTCAGGGCTCTGTCTTGACTGGCATGCCTGGCCGCAACACCTACATGCCTCCTCAGTCCCCCGCCTTCAACAACGGTCGCACATCGACCATGGGCTTCCAAGATTCTCCCATGCAGCATCGCCAGTCGATGATGTCTATGGGCACAGGAGTTCATGACATGCGCAGCCAGTCACCATACCAGGACTACCCTGGCCAACATCCCAGCGTAAGCAACCTCCGTGGACAGGCCAATCTTTCACCCGCCACTGGCGGTGGACATAGCCGATCTGGCACTGCTCTGGGCTTCAGCAGTGGTGCTCGATCTCCCATGCCGGATGCCATGCGATCGCAGTCATCGTTCGACTTCCAGCATGGCCACGCTGGGCCCAACGACATGGCTATCGTCGAGTCTATTCGCTCAGTTCTGTGCGAGGTTGACCTCGACACTGTGACCAAGAAGCAAGTCCGCGCTCTAGTAGAACAGCGTCTTCAGACCGAGCTGGTTGGTGAGCGCCGAACATTTATGGACCGACAGATCGACCACGAGCTGGAGAACATGTAATTTGCACCTGAAGGGAATTGAAAGATTTATAACTGTTTTTTATACTCTAATCTTGGGTACATACCTTATGCTGGGTTTATACAGTGTCGCAGCAATAGTCTACCTCAATCTTGGAAAGAGTTGCTGGCGAAGTCAGAGCATGATGGAAATATGGGTGTTCAAAAATGAGGAAGCGAGAATACCGGCAGGCGTTGGATATGATTTTTTATTACTGGGCAGATATGGGAGTCGTTCCTTGGAAAGCTTTTACTGGTTGTTTGTGAAAAATGTTATTATTTCTTAATGAATGGCTGGCTGGAACCGCTAATGGTTCATATCTCATACTTTTAATCCTACCTGCTGTCAAGTCTTTCAACATGCCCGCTTGTTTCGCTTACACTTCATCTTGAAAAATCATATGTCAGTAACTTGACTCTGCCCGGTGAATGTTCTCCTTCTTTCTAGCCCAAATTCCCTGCATGCTACATCGTTCACTCCTATGATCCTATCGTTCGTTCCAGTGTCGTCCTCATTTTGTAATCATGTTCTTTATTGTCCACTTCATCTCATTACTCAAGCATGGTTTCGTATGTGACTTAGATATCCAATACCAAATGCTATATGCCTCCACTACTTCTTACCCAGGTTTCCAACGCCCTTTAATCGTAGGTATACATCCGTTCCCCATCCATATAGACTCTGCACCGCGATGCCACCTCCAAAGTACTCGGCGTACGCCCTGCTCAGAGGTAGTCCGTATCCCAGACCTGCAATGGAACTACCACCAGTGCTGGCAGTTGATATCGCACTGAGACCGTCGCCACCATTGCCATCTCCTGGGAAGTCATCCATGTCGTCGGAGAAGGTGGTGAATGAGTATGACCAGATATTCGGGCTGACCTCTGGTGGAATCCCGCCACCACGATCGCGAATACGAATCGTCACTCCAGGAGCATTATCATCTAGAGGGACTATCGCATCGTTATTGGTGGCGTTTCGGCTGTCCTTTGAGGGCAAATCACTGTCTTTGGTCGATGAATTTGACAAAGATGTTGTTGAGGGTTCTTCAGTCAATGCAGGCTCTGGTGCGATCGTGACGATTACAGGTTCGTTAGACTTGTTCTCAATTGTAGCACGGAAAGCATTTTTCAGCAGTTCAGTAACTATGTACTCGAGGTGCATAGGGACAAATGCGAATGTGGTGTCTGGCTCGCCATGAATATAGAGAAGAGGCCGGACGCCATATCGAAGCTCACAGATATCAGCGACGAAGCCAGCACATGACTCTACTATTTGTGCAGGGCGAAGAGCTGTGTCGATGACTCCAATGTACGAGGGATCATCAGGGCACGGTGTTGGACTAGCATTGGGGTCAAAGTGCGGCTGAGAACTGAAATGTAGTGCAATATGCTGCTCCGCAATGAGGCGCGTACCGATTCGAGCGCGGAGGTGCTGGTCGAGGAATTTTGTGACCTCTTCGGGAGATATATACCGTCGACATTCGAGGAAGCCCTTTGCAAGAATGGGGATAGTATCGGTGTGTGTCGCAACGAGCTCGGCCAGTACATTCGTGAAGCGTATCTCGTCTTCGAGAGTCGAGATTGGTCGTCCTTCACGGGTCGCGTGCCAGTATGGAAGGAGTATTGATAAAGAATGGAGATAGTTGTTGTATATACGTGAGATGTTCGGGTTCGCAACGACAATGTAAGGAAGGTTGCGAAGCGCTTGGATACGATGGGCGAGGCGCACGGGAAGAAGAGAAAGGGCGAAATTGGCGGATGAGAGGAGGGACTTGGAGGATAGAGGAGGCCGGCCGTGTCTATAAATTGTCAGTTATTATCAGTAGTTAAAAGGTGAGTTGGACAAACCTCACGAGGTCTGCGAGACACAGAGGATGTTGATGTTGTCGAGCCAGTGTCGCAATCTCATCATCCGACACTTTCGGGGAGTGTAAACTCCGTCTCGTCACCAGCCGGTTCCGTGTGCTTTCAGGACTCCAATGCGATTGTCTAGGGCCCCTCCATTGAGACAAGCATCGATATGAGGTGTGACAGGGCCAAGATCGAAGAATAGTAGAGGCGGCAGGCCCTCGCCGCCTTATTAACCTGGTGGAAGAAGCAATCATTGCAGCATTATGGCGTGTTTCTTAAGAATTTTGTTTTCGCACTCCTCTTGGAGTTAATGTCGTTGATATGAGAAAGTATGGAGCTGATCTGTAGAAGCTGAGCAGACCGGTAAATGTCCCCGAGGCGGATGACTCTTTACGGTCCGGGGTAGGTTGGAGTGGAGCTGCCACTTGAAGCGCTTGCGGCCGGCTTATCGCTTATCACACGGCTCACAATTGCGGGGTGAGGGGCATACGTCACCGAGTCGGTCCCCCGCCAAGCATCATATCGTAGACTTTCAGAAGTCTTGGGTTCAATGTTGCCATCATGGGCCACTTTGATACTACATGAAGGGCTCTACATTGAAATGCTAGAGTTTAGGTGCCTCGAAAAGCCACGGTTGATGCATAGCCTTTCGATAGAAGACAGTTTAATGATTATATTCCCTGACGCCGATGCAGCAGAGCTTATGATAATCTATGTATGGATATCGATGGCCTCTTCGTACGCATCATTTCTATCCCATTCAATTACTGGGTCCTCATCTCGCCATCGGGCTCGACTGCCTTGACGTGCTCGTGGCTCTCAAGTGTTTGGATCTTGTCGTCATCGTACTGAACACTATGATCTTTGTCAGCTATCACCCTATAATTCTCTATGTACACGAGGTTAACTTACGCGAAGCCCTTGATGAGACTGTACTCATGTGTTATCTTGCCGCCCTGGTCAATGGCGTGTTGCTTGGCACTATCAACTGTTAATCTCACATGAAGGAGTATTCTTTCGAGCTGGGACGTACGACTGGACCTGTTCGTCGGACGCTTCGTCCTTGCAGGTAACCTATGAGAGATTGTCAGTTGATGGCGAAATAGGATAAATGGCGATGGTGATGCATACGATGTAGGAAGGCATGGTGAACTTGGTTGAGTGATGGAAGTGTTGTTTTTTGAGGATGGTTGTGTATGAAGCTTCTAAGTTCACATGGCTGCGGATGCTGCCACTTATATTCGTTATAAGTCGGGCTGAAGCGTGACCACGACCCATCCTTTACAACGCAGAGTACCCTGCTTTACAGCGTTTCGAAAGCAGGCACACGCGGGACTACGTGGTGTAGGTGCGACAGAATCCACTCTCGCAACTTGTTAGATACCAATGAATCACCCTCCTTTCCAGCTGCCCATTCCGGTATCTCTCGTGGTGGAGAGACTGCTGTATGGCGGTTCTCGACTGTTATAGGGTAAATACAGATCTCACTCATCACGGGCATGACGCAATCTAGGGGAGCTTGTGTGACGCCGGCAAGTATCTGACAGCTATGACGTGGTTGGGGAAGGATAAAGCACAACAGATGATCTTATTGTCGAGATTTCAGGACTGTTTCTTTTGACAAGAGTCTCGAGTAACCTTTGTAGAGGGTTAGGTGGCCGGAGAGTGGAGGTGTGAAACGTGGCACTGATGAGAATGTCGTGCATTGCATAACTCAAATATTGACACGAACCTTGATAGGAGTCCTTCGAATTCTCTCCAAAACGCGCCTATGGGGTCAAGGGTTGCAAAATATTGAGACCGACCGTGAACTCCCGCCAAAGCTCATCAATATAATAACATACATACCCGCTTTGGGTCAATAGGCGCGAAGTTGTATTCATCAAGGGATATATCTACACATGATGATCCATAGTAAGAGAGGGAAAACGTTCAGCGTTCAACAATCCCCGAATAAACCTGTAAATGTGGAGATAAACAAACAAAAAACACCACTATTAGCTCAAAGACCAAGAACCCTGAAAGCCTGGATCTAAACTGCATGAATATTTGTTGAAAGCAGGAATAACAAGGCCTCATCGTTCTGAAGCCAGAGTATAGGGTAGACAGTATGGGGTGATGCCCCTCATGATCCTGACGATCCCCCACCTCTAGCGGAAACCCGCTTGTCAGAAACTCTTCCCAGGCAAGTGACGTCGATGATAGATAAGGGAAGCAAAACTGGACCAAAATAAGCCTGTGATAAGCTTATCTGTCTGCAGGTCTAGCGAGTTTCTTGGCTTCTTGAGCTGTCATGATGGAAGGGTAGTCACGTGGGCAATATACTTTGCTAAGTATAACCTGCTCAGGAGCCTTAGGAAAAACATTTATTTATGGGCAAATTAACTCTGTTGACGCTGGGGAGGGGAGCAGATTGTTGCCGTGTTGGAGAGTTGCAGTCTGGCACAGCGACCTTCACCGCGACCAACGGGGTCGCACTCGTATTCGGGTATAGTGACTCAAGGTGAAATGAAATGAGGCCTGGCGTTAAGCAAGGACTCCATATGCATAAACGACACTACAGAGCTTTACCTATGGTCAGAGTCTGAGTGGTTGACAAGTTCCGACCAACCTACATAGTAATTATTGTAATATTCGTAATTGAAAACGAATTTCACACTAGAAATATGTCTTGCTGACGCACCTCCTACAAGTAGAATACTGACTGAATCCCCCACATAAGTTCCAGACGCTATCCTTTGAGAATAACACCTCGTCTGCTGTCCGTACTTATGGCGATAGAATACCACCGTGTGCTTTCAAACCATGTATTCGTCAATATGCGAAGGAATAGCGCAACCCGACACGAGCGTAAACCCGATTATTTCCAGGTAAACGAATACGTCGTATCAATAGCGAACCGTTCGTCGGTGTGGAACTCTGACGATCGAGCTAAGGGTGGACCCTGGAGATGAGTCTTTGTCAGCGACCATTGATTGATTCTGTCCCTGGCCTTGTGAGTTAGCTGAGCCAATAGGGTAATGATGTACCAGAGTGGGTGGGGAGTGTGAGTAACCCCCATGGCTGTATAAATTTGACGGTGATGTTGCTCTTTGTTAACGGTCATCACAACTGGTACTCAGTCCATAGCATATGTGATGGTGGTTATGTATCCAATGACCAACTTACGATTTCCACGCGAATCGACAGGCATTGACTTTGTACCCTACCCGCATAGTAGATATAGACTTACTGGGTAGGGTTCAAGCGAGACTGACGTTAAGATTCTCCCCAGGCGTACCAAGAGGCCCTGGAACATGCTGATGACAACGTGGGAGTTCGGGAGACCAGAAGTCGCAGTGTTCAGCCTCAAACCTATAGCAATGGGGAGCAGCTACGACCGCCACCAGCTACGAGATACATACACAAACTACCGAGCAGACAGAAACTCAGACAAAAGTTTCGAGGTATGATATACTCGATGCCCCTGTCAAAGGTAGTAGACTTGGGTTTAACGCCTCATACACGACGAGTCGCATGATGGCTATTGCAAACCGGATTCCCCCGATAAACTTGCCAATAGCTCTGTATCAAACGAACAAGCAGCTCAATGGCACAATGTTCAACCATGTAATAAGTATACAATGAGGCTGAAGAGGAAACATACGATGAATATCCGCAGTGCTGTCCCGAATATCAGGCTAGGGCCCGCTTAGATCTGCGACGGAAGACGCGGAAGAAGGCGAAGGCGGTAAACGTTATAAATGCTAGGGCTGTCTATTGCGTACATACGATTACGATCAAGGCTGGTGGAGCTTCAAAGTCAAGCGAACAAGCAAGACATTGTGATAGTTGGCCTAGTGTTTGTTATGTGTAAGTGAACCAAAGGTCACGAGTCTATTGCAAGACCAAGGAGAATGGCAACTGGTAGGATGAGATAACCAATGTCCGTAGTAACAAATCATATCAAGTTGTCACTCCGGGTAAATGATGATACCTACACGAATACTACGAAATGCAAAGAAAGTGGTCTGTTTTTCCAGTTCCAGCTCCAGTTCCAGAAAGCAAATGCGACAGGCCAGCATTAGACCCTTTACGGGATCGTCGGGGCTTCGAGGTTCGGAGACTAAACTAAGGTAGGAAGCTTCCTGGTGAAGGTTTTCGAGTTTGGCAGCGTAGAAATTAGCACCAGGTAAAAAGGAATTCGATATGAAGACCCAGTGAAAAAAAGGATAGGAAATTGTCATTGGAAACATGCAATCTTTCTTTTGTAACTCTTCATCTTGATATGCAGATCTGGAAAGGCCCAATTAATGAATAGTTGATCTATACGTCTTAGCTGAGCTTACATACAGATTCATCCTCTTAATAATCGAAGAAAACAGTCGTTACTGAAGTCTCCTAAGGAAGGTTGTGTTAATTGGGAGGGCGTATCTTTAGACGTGTGGCGTGCCGCCGACCCCCCCACCAACAAGTCAACCACGCTGCAACTCCACCTCGCATCTAATCTGTCTCTCCTCTCACGCCCTGGTCAACAACATCTTTTTGGGACACAAAGCCACAGCAAAGCTTGCAATAGGAACAAAAAGCAGTTTATGGTAATCAGAAAGTAATTACCAACATTCCTACTAGCCATTGACTTGTTCAATGCAGAGATGGCCTAGCAGTGTATCTTTCACTTTCATCTCTTTAAATCTCCGCCCTTAGCGAATTCGCTCCCGTTAATCGTTCACACCCTGTCCCTTGCCCTTGTAGTGCTCGTACCTTGACCTTGAGACCCCAGGGCCCTCTTTTATTTTTTTTCTCTGCCCATTCCCTGTAAATGAAAAGCCAAGCACTGATTTCATTGATTGACTGACATACGCGGAACGGACTCTGTTGACGGGAGGCGCCTGCACCTTCCACAGCCAACGGCGCAGAAGACTGGACAATTACTAACCTTGGGAAGGTACCTCCTGTATCTGGAAAGAAACACAACCTCCACTTCTCCTACTTTACTTCCTCCTCTCCCCTACCTCCCGTCTCTATCCCTTTCCTCTCCTTCATCCTCATACTACTCCTAGTCGCAAGGAGTACCACTGGTTGTGAGAAACTCAACAACCAGACACAACAATCTCGCTTGATTGCGAGCTCGAACTCGACTTGCGGCGTGGCTCATCCCAACGACTGGACTGATTCGATTCCTTGCCGTCGCATATCACCGCCCTCAACAAAATGGAGGCCGTCAACGCTACCTCCAGCGGCTTCTCGTCCGTTCTGGCCGGCACCAAATACGCCAATGTCGCTCTTCCTCCCCAGGTCGAATATGTTATCGAAGCTGTTTCCAACGCCGGTGTCTGGACTTGGGTATTCACTTTCATCGCTCTTTGCGTTGCCTATGATCAGAGTATGTTGTTCCGCTACCAGGTAACCCAAGGCGCATTGCTAACCAGAGCTCCCAAACAGTTGCCTACATCATCAGGAAAGGTCCTATTGAGGGACCGGCCATGAAGATTCCCTTCATCGGCCCATTCCTCGACTCCATGGATCCTCGATTCGACGGTTATCATGCCAAGTGGAGCAGCGGTCCCCTGAGCTGTGTTTCTATATTCCACAAGTAAGTACAGAACGAGAGATTCAACATGACGAAACGGCCATACTGACATTAAATTGCTAGGTTCGTCGTTATTGCTTCCACTCGTGACATGGCTCGCAAGGTTTTCAACTCACCCGCCTATGTCAAGCCCACTGTTGTCGACGTTGCCCCTAAGCTTCTTGGACACGACAACTGGGTATTCCTCGACGGAAAGGCCCACGTTGATTTCCGCAAGGGTCTTAACGGTCTCTTCACCCGCAAGGCCCTCGAGAGCTATCTGCCTGGTCAGGAGGAGGCTTACAACACTTACTTCAAGCATTTCCTCAAGATGACTAAGGATGCCGGCGGTAAGCCTGTCCCTTTCATGCACGAGTTCCGCGAGGTCATGTGTGCTGTCTCTTGCCGTACCTTTGTTGGTCACTACATCTCCGACGAGGCTGTCACCAAGATCGCTGAGGATTACTATCTCATCACCGCTGCTCTCGAGCTTGTCAACCTCCCCGTTATCCTTCCTTATACCAAGTCTTGGTATGGCAAGAAGGCCGCTGATATGGTTCTGGCCGAGTTCTCCAAGTGTGCCGCCAAGAGCAAGGTTCGCATGGCCGCTGGTGGTGAAGTCACCTGCATCATGGACGCCTGGGTTCTGTCAATGATCCAGTCTGAGCGCTGGCGTGAGGCCGAGGAGAAGGGCGACGGACACACCGTCGAGAAGCCCACTCCTCTTCTCCGCATGTTCAACGATTACGAAATCTCCCAGACTATCTTCACCTTCCTCTTCGCTTCTCAGGATGCCACCAGCAGCGCCGCTACTTGGCTCTTCCAGGTTACCGCCCAGCGACCCGATGTCCTCGACCGTGTCCGAGAGGAGAACATCAAGGTCCGCAACGGTGACCCTAACGCGCCTATCACCATGGATCAGCTCGAATCTCTTACTTACACTCGCGCTGTTGTCCGAGAGCTTCTCCGATGGCGCCCTCCTGTCATCATGGTTCCCTACGTCACCAAGAAGGCCTTCCCCCTCACTGAGAACTACACCGTTCCCAAGGGTAAGTTGAGAAGCTTCCAATTGCATTTTTGATCGCTGTGATACTGATTCGAATCCCCCAACAGGCTCAATGTTGATCCCCACCACTTTCATGGCTCTCCACGATCCCGAGGTCTATGACAACCCTAGCCACTTCGACCCCGAACGATACTACAGCGGCGATGCTGAGGAGAAGGGTTCCAAGAACTACTTAGTTTTTGGTACCGGACCTCACTACTGCCTTGGACAGGTGTACGCTCAGCTGAACCTGGCTCTCATGATCGGAAAGGCTTCAGTCATGCTTGACTGGAAGCACCACGCAACACCTAAGTCTGAGGAGATCAAGGTCTTTGCCACCATCTTCCCCATGGTATGTACTCGTCACAGGGCAATACAATGCAATAATGACTGACTTTGAAACAGGACGACTGCCCTCTCACCTTCGAGGAGAGGAAGTGGTAAACGGTGCGCAGGAACTTGGTCGATACTAAATCCAATACGGACCGTTAATTCCGGTATCCCTGATGCACAGTGGCAGTGCGGCTGCAGCCCAAGTGTATCTGATGAGGGAGGCCGAAAGAATGATCGAGGAAGATGGCTGTGAACGGCTTAAGCTTCCAATGAAGATAAAATAAGAGATCAACTGTTGGCATATGATTAGCTACAGGGAAATTCTCTGGAGATGAAGCTTGAAGAGCCAAAAAGACAGCTCAATGTGGACGAAAAGAACAATCATGATGGATATCAGTTTTAATACCTATTCTCGGTGTATATAGTTGGCTGCCCGAGGGCATTTGGGACCGCAAGGTCATAGAGATGATTGCCATGATGGGAACTGGCATTTGGACGGCGAATAGCAAAAGATTTCAAAAACAGATCAGATGACCGAGTTGAGCGAAGTGACTTGATTTATGGCTTCAACTTAAGTCAGCATGAGGGATTCATGATGACCATCCTATTTGTAGTACTCTTCACTGGCGTGTTAAGCTTAGTTTGTATGTAATAGCCATCACTTTGAAGGCTTGAATAGTAAGGCCGCGTCTTGTTGATTTTAGATTATCGGTTGATTTTATTACTGGTGATTACGAAGTGTCTATTCATTACTCCTGTAACATCATGGCATCCATTTGATCGTGTCTTGCATCACCCCGGCCCCAGCTTCTTAGTCAGTCGCCTTAGCTCGGTATAGTTCACGATTTCGCCATCTTGAACCTCAATTCGTATTTCCCTCCTCGATATTATCCAGGTCGTAAACCTTTCTACAATAATACAAAATGGCGTCCCGTCGCGCTCTCTTCTCCTCAGCTTCGCGCGCATCCGCTGCCATCCAACCTGCTCGACCAATCTTTATAGCTGCAGCTCGCTCGGCAAGCCCCTCGCTACCATCCCTAGCTTTTGCGCCCTTTGCCTCTACTAGAAGCTATGCTTCCAAAGCCCAAGCCAAAGCAAAACCGATAGCTGACCTTGCCCCACGGGACCCCAAGCCGTGGAACTTTGAAGATATAAAGAACCATGTTGAGAAATCTGACCAGGGCGATGTAGTCCTCATCGGTACGTTCACCTCTAGGCATGCTGGGAAATCGAGTTAACAAGCGCAACAGACGTCCGAGAACCAGTCGAGCTTTTCGAGACGGGCAAGATCCCCGGTGCGATCAATATTCCTATCACATCGGCAGCTCAGAGCTTCCATATCTCCGACGAGGATTTTGAGGACATGTATGGCTTCCAGAGACCGGCAAAGAACAAAGAGCTTGTGTTTTATTGCAAAGCAGGAGTGCGTGCAAGGGCGGCTGCGCAACTGGCTCATCATGCTGGCTGGAACAAGATCGGCGACTATGCAGGCAGCTGGCTGGACTGGGAAGCTCAGAAAGGACCAGTTGAGAAGGTTAAGAAACCATATTGAACAGGCAGAGCTTGATGAAGACATCCATTGGCAGAATGGTTGGTCAAATAAAAGCGCCTTCTAACTTATTGTACAAACAATTCCCAAAGATCTGTTTCCCCAGAGACTCCTTTTGGCTATACCTTAACTGCAATTGAGGCCTAGGAATACACATTCTCTTACACGTGTCATTCAATTCCTTACATCCCATCTCATGGTTCTAATCGATTTGCTACCACTTCTTAAAACATACGGCTACCCTTACCCTCGTCCGGTTTGCTCGCCACGGGGCTACCGTGAGCAAAGAAGAGGATCTTGATCGCAAGCGCCAGACCAGCGTGTAATAGCACCACAACTACCAGCAGGACCTTGCTGACCTGGCGATCTGTGGCGCTGAGCACGGGGTAAAGGTTTCGCAACAAGAATGCAACCGAGATTCCGAAACCAATACCGACAAAGACCCAGTTAAGGATGGAGATAGGCGACGAGCTGATGAGGGCAACGGGGACCCAGATCAGGTTGGAGTAGCCGTACAGAGCCCAGCACTCGAGGAGATTGGCAGATTCGCTGCCGAAGTAACGGAGGGCGAGGAAGAGAGCCATGGGAATGAAGAGAGTGTAGCCATAGATAAGGCCAGCAGCGCCTGTTTGTCATGTTAGTGCGCGACTCCTAGGCAATATCATGGTAGACAAACCGCTTAGCAGCTTGAAATCATAGAGGAATGGCCCCTTGCCCGTATCCGACATGTACTGGCTGATAGTGCCGCCGAGGAAAAGGATCAAAATGACCGTCGTGGCGATCCAGAACGGTCCATAAAGATCAGGGTTGCCCTCTAGAACGTCGAGGAAGTTGGCCCTGGGAAATAGAGCAGCCCAGCAACGGGACAGAACGGCTGAAGTGTCGACATCGAAGAATTGCGCATAAAAGTTCATGCTCCAGAGGAAGCGCTTGGATGAGCCGGAGCCGGTCGAGGCCGTGGCTGGTGGAGGAAGACCGCTACCGCTGGAGGGAGGTTTGCGGGTGTTAGGGTTTGTATCGTTGAAGTTGGACGTATGGAACTCGAGGTCTTCTTGAAGATCGGTATGTCCGAGGTCGCCCTGAGTATCATATTAGTTTAGTCAAAGAGAAGATGTGTAAAGATGTTGGGTATTGCAGCTTAGAGCTTGAAAGGGTAGCTAGAGGGGCCATGGCATACCTCGTCATCAACATCGACGACGGCGTCGTAACCGGAACCAGACATTGTGAAGCTGGGTATTTATCTTATTATAGCTTCAAAAGGATAAAAAGAACGGCTCGTTTGCAATTGATGAATGTGTTTGGTGAAAATGAACAGCAGTGACAGAGTCACAAGGGAGAGTAAAGTTGAGGTGCTCCTACTGGTCGCTGTCAGCTTCTAATTGGGACAGTTTGGCAGTTGTCGTAATTCAGGAGCACGCGTATCGTGTCAAGCTCAGAGCCGAGGATTAACCGGCGCTTCATGATTGTCGGCTTTAGTCTTATCGAGCTCAGGGCATGATTATCAGTGGATCTGAAGAGTCGATGAAACAGCCCTGTAAGCTATCGCAAGGGAGATTTACTGAATTGGAGAAGCGTTGCATTTTAACATGTCAGAATCAACAGAGAAATAGCTTGAGAATCAAATCAATTGTCAGGAGCTCTGTAAGCTATGAGTTTTATCGTCATCCTCACAGCTGGGCCTTCTTTCCCATTCCCCAAGATTACCCACAGTCACTCATTTCCATGCACAAAACCATCTCGAAGCGTGAATGCTTTTATTTCTTTTGAAGGGGTCTGGCCGGAACACCTCGCGGCACGGCACATCGTCAATATGGGCATCATCTAGAATGTATTGCCTGAGCTGCACATGCTAATGTAAAAACAACCAGCCTCGTGTGAACAAAAGAAAAGAAGCTCTCCTCTGTCCTTGCCATCGACCCCCAAATGCCAAATCCCAGACGCCACATCCATGGAGTATTCGTTTATTTGAGCTTCTTCTTGGGTCGGAGCTGGTTGGTGTGTCCACACTTGCGCTTGCGGCAGTTGGTGGCACGGGGAGGGAGACGAGCCTGTTGATGCTGGTTAGAATCCGGTGCGTTGCGGACGGCAGGTTCGACATACGTAGCACTTGCGGCAGATCATCTTGTCGCAGTTGAACTTGGAGGCAAGGGCCTTGAGCGAGGGCTCAATGATACCACCACGGAGACGGAGGACGAGGTGAAGGGTGGACTCCTGTACAAGGCGTAAGTCTATGTTCCCAGCATTTCCCAATCATCTTCCCGCGGATGCAACCGCAACCGCATTTCGGATCCCACGCACCTTCTGGATGTTGTAGTCGGAGAGAGTTCGGCCATCCTCGAGCTGCTTACCAGCGAAGATCAGTCGCTGTTGGTCCGGGGGAATGCCCTCCTTGTCCTGGATCTTGGACTTGACATTGTCGATGGTGTCCGAGGACTCGACCTCGAGGGTGATGGTCTTGCCCGTCAGGGTCTTCACGAAACTGGATGGTCCTGTTAGTACACAACGGAAGGAGGTGATTTTTGTCGATTTTTCGGAATCGGCGGGCTCGAGCTTACATCTGCACTACATGGAGAGTCAGTATTTACGCCTATTGAGATTATTTGCGGCTATAGTTAGGGGTATACTCACTCTTTACTGATTTTTGTGACGTGACGATGTGAGGATTGGAAAGCCGGGCTTCTTTCTGCGCACAATATTGGTGGGGCGAACAAGTTCAAAAACGAAGGGAAGCCCTAAGGTTGGAGATAGTCACGTGTTGACTCCTGCCACCAGATTTGGGACGTTTCTGTGAGACGAGGGGGGAGTGGATCCAGCACCCATGATATCATGCCCTGATTTACATGGAAGCTTATTAGATATAAGTCATAAGGGTATCAATTATTATCCACCATGTTAGTGACATGATCAAATAACTTCTTCCTCTTCCTCTTCCTCTTCCTCTTCTCGCTCTTCTTCTCGGCGTCTCTTCAATTGCCAGTAGATCATCTTCTGCTCCAACATGTAAACTGCTTGCACTATTTCATCAAGCGACAGACCTGATATGTGACCTTGACGACTGATCAGCTCGAGGTATTCCATGAATAAGGCGTGATAACTTACCAGCAGCTTCATACAACGCCTGCGCTGTCTCTGTAAGGTCCTCGACCGAACGGAACGCTTCATAACTTGGTTCTGCTAGAGTTTCCCCGTCTTGTTCTGACCCCTCCTCTCCTCTTACTGTAATTGCTTGGCCAAGGATCTTCCGCATCTTGTGGTCGTTATCTTGTTCAGTGTTTTCTCGTGGAGGAGCTTCTGGAGGAGCTGCGTTCTCTGATGGAAAGAACTTGGTGATTTCTGAATCATCTTCTATCTATTAGTATTGTTGTTGATGCGCTGGGCCAAACTCACTCTTCCTGTCGATCGTGCTCGCAATATGAGCAAAGTACTGGTCAAGCTCCTCGGTCGTCATTGAAGTAACTTGGTCAGCCGTAACTTGATCGAAGCTGGGCTTCTTCTCAGATGTTTGAGATGCCTCTATTAATTCTTGGACGCCCTTATACCATGTTGTCCAATCGAACCCGATACTCTGCTCTCTGCCAGCGGCGCGAAGAAAAGGGGCGTGTTGTCCTAATGGAAAGCACAGCTTTGCTGCAACCACGATAGCCGACATGAGCAAGATCTCGGGATAGTCTATATGAAATCGCCGTGACTGCTCAATGGGTAACTGAAAAGAGAACTTCATAACCGATAGTATGCTTCTTGCTGTGATGAGCGTTTCCACTAGAACAGTCAATACAAGAGGGGTCAGCGTCTTGAGAGCACTCACCTGGTAAAGTGAGCTGCCTGGCAAAGTGCACAATAGTTGGCGTATCATTGATAGCGGGGAATACCATTCCATAGTTGTGATGATATGAGAGAGAGAGATCCAGCACAGCATTGTGCAGGTCGATGCCCCTAAGAGATGAGCGCAGGGGTAGTTTGAGGGCTCTGGTGTAAGCAGATGGTAATCGATCTTGCATTTCTTCAGGAAGGTCGTAGAACTGACATCTATTAGCTGTGTGGCCAAACTGTCAAAGGCTGACTTACTGAACGTTTATAAGGTATTCGCCCAGAATTGGCCCAGGCACACAGCTCCCCAACCGTGGTAGGTATCCTGAGCAACAAGCATCCGAGATAGCACAAGGCCAGGGTTTCAATCATTCTCGGCACAGGCCAATCTGGGTTGTCCTCTGGATTCCAGCTACGAGCTCTTGCGCCCTGCTTCTTCGGCGTATCATCATTTTCTGTGCCTGTAGGCTGCGAACTGAATATCGCAAGGCCATCACCCGTTTGTTGCGTTTCCTCCTCAGCTAGGAGTGCCCCGGAGCCTCGAATACGAAGATCCCACAGATCGCGCACGACAGTCTCAAGCTCTTCTCGATGACCTTTGCTCTGAACGAGCCAAAGGAGCTGTTGCCTCAACACTAGCTGTAAACATTCGAGAAACAGATTCTTGCCTGCTTGCCCTGTGAGATGTCGCAGCTCTTTTTCCTTAACCTCCTTGTCTTTCTTTGTCTTTTTACCAAGCTGACCAGCATCGACATCATCACCAATGTCGAATTGAATAAATCCCTAACATGATTGTCAGCCCAGAGTCTTCGAGAGTGTAATGCAATTCACACCTCAACCTGATGCCCGTTGAAGCAGAAGCGCAGACCATTCTCCAAATACCATCTTCGAGCACCACATTCTGGACACCTCTCCCCACGGGGAAACTTGCGAAGGTCTCGCCTCTCATCCATAATTTGCACTGATTATGGCATTTCGTATTTGCTTTCGTTGTTGTCTTTGCTACTGGCTTGTCGAGCTCCGTTGTTACGGGTTTGCGACGGGCAAAAAAAAGTGGTCAGAGCTAAAAAAAAATATATATATACGTAGGTATATATGTAGGATCCTGTTGTACACTTTGTAGCGAGCAAAGTCATAAGCATTGTATACACAATTATAGATGTACAAACATTTAGATTTAATTATCTTTTACTTCATCCCACAATGTTGCGTTTTCTGGATTGTGTAACAATAAATGCAGGTTTGTACTATAGGTCCAAACATATGTTCGTCCAGAGAATATACTGTCTCGTCCTACGCAACGCACGCCGCATTAAGCAAATGTTACCATGGTGCCCAACGACTTCACAGAGTTCACGTCACTCATTATCAACAAGTCATGATCAACTCCAAAGCTCTCCCATTTTTTTCTTCATAAAATTGCCGCTACGTATCGTGACATGATGGCATGTGCAGCGTGTGAGCTAGGAACAAAGGAAAACATTTTTTGAGCCCGAGGCTCGTGTGCTCAGAATTGCCGTATATCATAACCAGCAGGCAATCCTGTCCAGATAGAGTCCTTCTGCGCAATGCCCAATCCATGGCCCATGAGTATTGATGTGCCAAACATTCATCAAAACAAAAATCCCCAGTCCAGTTCATCTTTCAATGCGGAGCTCAGAGGCCAAGTGCCATTTAAAGGAGGGTGCGGATCAAAGGCTAGGCGATTTAACCCTGGTTGGGGGCCTCCTTGGCTTCCATGGCGCACTCCTCGCCCATGGAGGTGAGAACAATAACGTCTGAGAGGCATGGTTAGGCAGTTCGTCGAATAAAGACCACAAGAGCAACTTACTGGTGTCCTTCTCCTCCTCCTTGAAGAGCTTGGTGATCTTCTGGCCAACCTCGTTGTCGGGAAGAGGGACATCGTCCTTGGTGTCACCGTCATCGGTCATGAGAGAGAGGAAACCGTCGTCGGAGATGTCGAGCTTGAATGCATGTTAGTTGAGCTGGTGGCGGAAATGACCGGGGGTCTGCTCTTCTGAGGAGAGGGGTTGTTCCTCTGTGGAGCGGGGCAAGGGTTCACACACCAGCTGGTACTCGCGACGAGAGACGTTGGGGACGTCCATGTTGTGAGTAGAGGGAGAAAGATCCTCGTACTTCTTGCCAGTGAAGATGTCGGTAGCAACGAGATGGACCTTGGCGTGACCGTGCTTTCCGGTCTTGGAGGTGGACATGTCGACGATCTTGCAAGGGCGGTTCTTGATCACGACGAAACCGTTCTTACGCAGAGCAGAGCACTGCATAGGGTAGGTAAGAGAGGCACCGGCATCGGCCGAATCGAAGGTCATCTCATGCTGTACCAGGGGGGAAAGGAGCCATTAGCAAAATTCTTGATAGATATGAGCATAATGTGATGGTGATGGTTATTTTAATGGTTTGTGAAGCTCGATTCAATAATTCAAATGGCAGTATTGTATCGTGGGGCATAGGTCACAATGCGGGGTGTCAATCTCCAGGCGAAAAATGGGCGCAAGGGCAGATTTCGTGGGCGCGTGCGCCTGGACTCGACAGACGCAGCAGCAGGAGCAGGTAAACTCACCTCAGCATCGTTGGGGGCGGCCATTTTGACGGTATTGACAAGAAGTCGAGTTCTTTGAGGAGAAAGGAGTGAGGTTGAGGAGGAGAGAAGAAAAAAAGCTGAGAGTGGTGCTTAATAGTGGGATGGAGAAGAGAAGAAGGAGAAAAGGGCCAAACTCGGAAAAAAGAGATGGAGGGGGCAAAGAAAAAGGTGCGAGGCCCTCGACAAGTTTTTTTCTAAAGTCTTTGATTGGTGTAAGTGGGCGTAGCAGTGGACACTGTTTTTTCAGGCTGTGGTTTTTGTTTAGGTTCTGTGGATGGGCGGACGCTGCCGGTGGATATGGTAGCCCAGCTTGCCCAGGCGATTTTAGCTCTCGTGAAGCCTGTAAGCACTCAAGGAGCCCAGCCTTTGTCCTTCTTTCCAGTGGCCGAGAGGGGGGTCCAGTCCATCGAGATGAACCCTCGACATTGCCCCTCGCCCATAAGCTACTCGACCCCTCCTCTCCCAGGACCGTATGTACCGTACCAGTGGAGGGGTTATTGCTTACAGGGCCTAGAGGGCATCTGTTCCGCTGCAAAAAAACTGAGCGGGGTGGAGCGGGAAGCCACCAGGAAGTGTTAATTGATGGCAGCTTTAGGTTACCGCCTTGACGATCGGTCATCTCAGCAAAGCTCGAGGTGGCGGGGTTAAGACAGAGAGTAAACATTGCTTTGACCATTCACATGTCAGAGTTTATTTTTATTCTGGGTCGAATATTCAAGTTGAGACTGAACTTACAGCCTCTGCCAACGGACAGAACTCAAAGTGAGGTGGTCTGAAGGTCACGAGAGCCCACTAGGCATTTCAAGAAGCAACCTGACACGCAGGTCCTCAAGTCATCACAGCGTCAAGGTGTCAAAGCCTGCAGGGGGTCATTAATGCTGACCTCAGGACTCAATGGCTGAAATGCAACTGCTCACGCGGGGAGCAACCCATCCTATGTTTTTGTTTTGGGGGCTTGCTTCCAGGTTCCCCTCTCAAACCCGAGGTGGCCATTGGTGCCCAAGACCTGTGTGTCTCAGCAAAATGGTCTTGGTGAACTGCAAGCAACTCTTGCAAGCATGGAGCATGGCATGGATGGGCATCGATCGCACAGTGAAAGCAATCACAGTTTACATCGGCAGGCCTATTGCTACCTATAGAGTAACTAGCATGTACCATGCGAGCCATAAGTACCCGCCTGCAAGCTGCAGCTTTATCCATTCTTCCATTGTTTGCTGCTCTGTGGCGCTTTGAGCCTAAGGCCAGCTCCAGAGTACCTCGTGTTGAGGATGATTTCCAATTCAAGATCAAGGGGACATAGGAGCCGAATATAGGCCCTGGATCGTGCTGCTAGCCATAGAGATGAATCACCAGACTACTGTGTCTTCATAGTCTTCTTGTGTATCCTCATGCTTCTTTCCATGGCGGTTGAAGTTTCGATGTGGTCGGGTGGGTTTGCATCTAACCCACCGGGTATCGGCTGGCCGAGATTCTTTGTCTTTCCCAATATGGAAGAGAGCTCCACACAGCCACACAAGGCTGAAATTAAAGTGCCCCCAGTTTGATATGTCCAATCAGCTTCCACTGGGCACCTTCAATTCCATGGCTGTCAACAGCCTCGCGTTGCAAGCTGGCCAAGCTGACCCTTTTGCGCCCAGCTCAGCTTCACTATTAGCTTGGTACCCATTATCCACAAACGCTTTCGACATCGACGACTATTACCATGATATTGCCTACGGTTCTCGAATTCACACATTAATCTTTACATACCGAATTCTACCACTGCCCTCCTACTGCCGGCATGTGGCTCGACCGACTGGCGGGAGGCCCGGCCAGCAGTCCTGGACCCTCCACGCCTCAACCCGGCGGCAGAGTATATCCTAAGAGAACTTCGAGCACTCTGAGTCCATATGTCACATCTCAACGCCCTGGAATATCTCCACGTGGCTCCTCGCTATCACTCGTATCCAATGATTCGACCTCTTCACTCCTATCGTCTTCGCGAAGGCCTAATGGCTCCAACTTGAGGCAGGCCTCAACTATCGAAACGGGACCTGATTCTTTGGAGGTGCTAGAGACTTTGCTAGCAGGCCTTTCGAGCGACCGCGACCAAGCCGACAAGAAAACCGTCATTAATCAGGACGATATCAACTTCGACGCTGTATTCGGGGGATTATCATTAAAGGGGCTTGCCACGTCGGAACCTCCTGACACAACCACAACCAGCAACCGCAAGCCAAAAACGGCAGAAGAGAGTCCGTTTATCGCAACAGATACTCTTTGACCCCATAATTGACATATCGCAGGCGAGAATGATAGAACCAAACTCGAAGATCTTCACCGATCGATAGAAGCATGTGACGATGTACTCAATTCAGTTGAGATCAACCTTGCCAACTTCCGCAACGACCTTGCTATGGTATCTGCAGACATCGAATCTTTACAAACCCGATCGACAGCTTTGAATAGGAGATTGGAAAACCGGAAACAAGTTGAGAAGGCACTGGGGCCTCTGGTAGAAGAGCTAAGCTTACCACCTGAAGTTATCTCCAAGATCTCTGAGGGGCACATCGATGAGACATGGGCCAAGATGCTCGCCGAACTGGATCGCAGGTCGACCCTGTTCAAAAAGAAGTCCGAAACGCAAACTAGTAATGCGGCAAAAGACCTCGAACCGATTCTTGAGAAGCTCACTTTCAAGGTATGTGCCCTCCGCTACTGTTAGAACCTGAACTAACTCCCCCAGGCAATCGAGCGCATACGAGACTTCATCGTGGCTCAAATCAAAGCACTGCGATCACCGCATATTAATGCCCAAATTATTCAGCAACAAAGTTTCCTTCGATACAAGGATCTTTACACATTCCTACACAAACATCATCCGACTCTTGCAAATGAGATCGCCCTCGCATATATGAACACTATGCGGTGGTACTACCTTAACCAGTTTTCCCGGTATGAGAAGGCTCTCGGGAAAATCAGGCTTCACATATTAGACAAGAACGACGCTCTTGGCCACGAAGATGCAACCCGCAAGGCTACTGTTCTTTCCAGCAACAGGGCACCAGGGCCTCCTCATGATGCATTTAACCTTGGCCGACGCATTGATCTTCTGAAAACCAACAACCAAACCGCGCTCTCCTCATATCTCGCCGAGGAAGACCAAACAACTCACTACCTCGAAGTACCCTTCCGCAACTTCAACCTGGCACTCATTGACAACGCCACGGCAGAATACACGTTCATGGCCACCTTTTTCTCTCCCGCGCTGTCCTATAGCCAGATTTCAAAGAACTTTAACTATGTCTTTGAGGCTACCTTTGAACTCGGCAGAACCCTTTCCAAGACTCTGATAGGGGAGACCTACGATGCGCTCGGTCTACTCCTTTGTATCCGGTTGAACCAGCATTTGGCTTTTGAGCTCCAGCGCCGGAAGGTTCCTGCTGTGGACGGCTACATCAATGCCACGACCATGCTCCTATGGCCCCGTCTTCAGGTCATAATGGATCGTCACTGCGATTCTGTACGCCACCTCAGCAATGCTATGCCCGCCAAACCGAGCCGCGCCGAAGCTGCTAAACTGTCTGCGGCACCTCATGTTGTAACCCAGCGTTTCGGGCAGCTGTTACACGGCTTATTGGCCCTCAGCACCGACGCTGGCGATGATGAACCTGTTGTGTCCAGCCTGCGCCGCTTGCGCTCCGAAGTTGAGACCTTTCTTACTCGCCATGCTGAGCTCTTCGGCGACAAGCGTAAGAGCGGGCGCTTCTTATATAACAACTACTCACTTATCCTCACCATTATCAGCGATGCGAACGGCAAGCTTGCTGATGAGCAGCAGGAGCATTTCGAAGAACTGAAGGCTCAGTACCAAGAGACGTCCTAGAAAAGTGCCTCATCTGGATACAAAATTGTTGGGAAACAGGAGGGTTAGTTCACAGGAAATTAGTGCATTCTCAAGTCTTCCCTTGAGTGTGACCATGTGTATATTTCTTTGCATGGCGTCTCGGTGAAGGTCATCTATGGGTCTTATTGCTAAACAGAGCTTTGACCAAACAAAGTGTTATCTATGCCATTCTAGCGTGGGGTAAATCATTCCATCTGCCAACTTTTATAACAAATATGCCTACCTTGAGCAATCTACCTGAGAAATCATCTTGCCGGTGGGAACTTTGGTGTCTATCGAGAGAAGAATGAGGCAATGCGATGAACGAGTATTGGATTGCGGCGAAGGTAGAAAGCCAGGGCTCCCACAACAAGAGCCATACCAACGGTCTTGACTGGGCGGCGGTAACGCCAGAGGGCCAACTTGACGCGCTTCCGCACTTCTTGCCAATGAAGTTCATTGACCTGCTTCTCAAAAAGCTCCGAGCCCTCTTCCATGGTCTGTTTCGCACATGTTTCGATATCCCGGGCTGTCTTGAGAGCACTGAAATTAGAGATGTGTCGCCAGTAGTGAAGAGTCTCAGGAGGATGCTGCTCAAAGAGTGCGACTGATTTTATGATAAGCTCGTCGAGATCCATTTTTGGTGGGACCTTGCCCAGAATGACGTGCAGCATATCGGGCTCGTCTATCTCAAAGATCTCATTTCGACGGTCAAGAATGATCTGCGCAAACATGTAGACTGTAAATACAGGCTCCCGGGCTAGGAAAACATCGAACAGTCTGGCGATGTCTTGATAGGTCTCGATGTTGTGGGCATACATGGTCAGGGTTCCCGCTAAAGCGTAGAAGGGTTCAACACCTGCAAGATGCCGTCGGAGCTTGGGATCAGCAACATGGAGAATGTCCGGCAGAAGGCGGAGTTGAGCGGTTGTTGGCCCAAAACTGGGCAACATAAAGTCCCGTATCCTCAGGACGGATAGGCGCGCGAGAACACGAGCTCTCCATGCTGGTGCCAGCACCAGCAGTAGAACCTGGGAGATGTCGTGATAGCCCTGGAAGTAGCACAGATAAGGGTAACGGCGTAGGACCTCGGTGATGAGGGATGAGAGCTCTGACTTGCGGAGACTTAGCTCTGCGTCCGATTGGTCTGGCACTGCATTAGCTCTCACGATGTCTTGGAGGTAAGGAAGGATTGAGCAATACTGTCTGGATAGTAGATGAACGAGCGATTGACGTCAAGCTGGACCTGATCCTCATCTCTATGGCGGGGTAATTGCTTCCATGTATTGGAATCTTCTTGAGCCAATGCAAGATCAAGGTCATCTTTTTCGTCAGAGGGAGCATCGAGACCTAGTAAGATGGGCCCTGTGAGATGGTGTTAGTCAATGAAACGGGGTGTATATACGGTAACAACGAACATGCTTGTCTTCGCAATGTATCCGACAGGAATCCACCATGAGCTTCAGCTAGTGACCGGAGACGGCCAATGTCTCTCCATTTGCATGCTTCGATGATATCTGCAGCCTTAGGATGAGAGAGTATGTCAGGTTCCTGGGAGATATCTGTGTTGGTGTTGGCGTTGGTATTGCTGCTGGTGCGGCTGAAAGACAACGGCGACTTATTATCGCTATCCCTCGGACTGTCCATGACTGGCTCGATAGACGGAAAAAAGCAAGTTGAAATGGAGGATGCAATGAAGGGAATCGGTGAGAAGGGATAGATAGTATCAGATGGAAAGTCTTGCCATGGCCAAGGTTGGGGGAACCAACCAGCGCAGAAACAGAACAACTTGTTCTTGTTCCCTTGCTAGCTCCTGACAAGCCTATTGGTCAAGTCTATGACTCTTCTGCTGTCTTGTTGCCGATGATGTTTGTGTCGCAAGGGAGTTGTGGTGGGTGATTCGTGTCACTTGGTGGATGAAGATTATAGTGCAAGCGTAAGTAATGGGAGGTATGAGAGTTGCTTTGCTGTACAGTACAGTAAAGTTGATCCCTGTTTGGCTGACCTGAGGTCTGATTGATTCAGATTTGATACAGAGTTAGGGGCCATGTACCCACTCCAACCACCCTAGACTTGATCAGTGGCCCCCACGTCCACCAGTCGCTGATAGCAGCCAACACCTCTATATATCTTTTTTCTTCTTTTCTTTCTTTACTTTTGGCTCACTTGCTTTTATATTCTTATTAGAAGTCTTTTTACTCATTGGTTTAGCAGTATGGCTATTGTTTGTCCTCACAATTATCTTTCGTTCTGCTTGTATCGCACATCGTTGTTAAGGCTTCAAAGACACAAGATACACCATGAGCCGCAACTTACCTCAACGTGCCTTGACAAACGTCACTTTCACACCCTGTGACCATGGACAATCAGACATCAACCTTCAGTCTCGATCAGGCCGAGACATGGCACAGCGGACTGCTCATTAGATCGATTGTTCTGATAGGTTGGGAACGCAGTTGTTTACAGCCTTCACTCTTGACCTGAAGGGCTACCCTTGCTATTCAACCCTTGATCTGGTATCCATTGCCATGCTCCTGCATTAATTCCCCGATGGCAGGTTCGGTGTTTGCTGGCGCTTATATAAAAGGTTATTTATCATAGCCATGGACTGTCTGAGACAGTGAATCACAAGTTCTGATTATCAACTAACAAACAACTGAATACCTAGACATAGCAATTTTTATGTTATTGTCGCACCAGCAAATACCGTTTCTAGAGCTGTATTTGGTAATCGTTTTTGGTTGCCATACAGAGCCATCATCAACAGAGTGAAGATATGCACGGAACAGTTGCCCGCCAGATGTTGGCCCTAGTATGGTTAAAGGGATCTGAAAGTCTCCGACAACGGCTTGGCGTAACTGACATGTCGTGTTCTACAAACCATTGTGAGCCACATTTTACAGGGCTAGCATGAACAAACAACCTCCTCCGGAGCTACAGACAAAGATTGACTCGCGCGAGCTGTGGTGGTCTCAAGACCAAGACCCAAACTCGAGTCATTTGCTGTAGCAGTTGTCAGCTCGGGGCTTTCCCTAGCTCTGGAGTGGAGTTGATGATTGAAGTGTACGGAGTACGGATAGAAGTGTTGAATCTAGTGCCATGGGGAGAAAATGGAGTGGATCACAAATCCTTGCTCAGATCAGTCCCACTAGCACGGCTTGAGTTTGGATTTTGAGAGCTGAAGGTGACTAGCCTAAGGTAGCTGCGGAGCAAGAAAACCTTCGGACATTAAGCTGCGGTGATAAAAAAAGCTAGTCTATAAGACCATTAAATTTATGCAAGACTTACCTAAATCTTTTTATCACTTAGAATATATGGCATATGTTTTCTTGCCTCCCCTAGCCTAGCTAATGACTGATTCCTGAGCGAGTAAAAGATCTAGGATTGCTTGTGTTGTCTTGCTGGGCTTCGACTATAAGCTTTCTGCCGCTGATCTTCTTCCAAAGGAGTTGAAACACGCGACAGACTGCATCGTCTTTGCATACGAAGTTTTTATGATCTTCATGACACGAGATCTGTGGGCTGGGGTAGTAATCACAGTTGGTGCCAGAGTGCCACGGGGAGGACTGTGGCCCGTTTCGAGAAGGCAAAAGTTTCCCAAGAATAGGCTCGTTCCCGAGATATATTTGAAGGTCCCCGATGTCAACGAATGCCGAGACCTCTTTACATATCGAACGGCATTAATAAAAAAAAAAGCACAAAGCCACTTGATTGATTGACTGGCCAAGCGTCATAGTAACTGAATTCGTGCCTACTTGATCCTTAGGCGGCTAATTCAAGTCGGTGTGACAAAAAGGGCAGAAGGGCATACTCTCTGTCTCGCGTGAGGATGGTGGTGACAAAAGAAAAGGGACGAAAGCTGAGACACTTGGCTGGTCCAGGCTCGGTCTATGGCTGCTGGAAATCCCATAATCGTTCTTGTGGAGGATTTAATGGTTTTGGGGACGTCAAGAGCCGGCAAGGATGAGAATGTGAATATGCCGTTGGTTGAATTGAAGCGAAGTCCCATGTACTAGACTAGGTTGTCCATGGTCGGTCCATCCCAAGAAGCTCAGCTAGCTTCCTCACTAGTCGATCGGTAGGAAATGACGAAGCTGACAAGAAAGATAGTCGAGATAGTGCATCCCCTAACTTAGTTATCCGTGATTTCCTATACGTAGTACGTAATTCGGAGAGCAACTTCCTACAAGAATTGAACTGCAACACAACACAACACAACAAAAAAGCTGATGTGAGTCAACAGCCAACCACATGAGGTGTGGTTGACACCCGTTTGACCTAACAAGAGCCGCTTGAGTTACCGACCCCCTGGTTCTTGGGCGCCTCTTACAGAGGTTTGGAGTGCTAGAGTGCTCATCAGAACCGAGCTGATGAGCCGTGGCCGACTACCGTGTTGTAATTCTGCTGCATGCCAAACTTCCAGGGTCATGCTTCATGGATGCTTTCTCGAGAATGTGCTGCCGTCTTTGTCAAATAAAAGGGATCGGCCGAGTCAAGAAGGATTGTTCGAGGATTCTTCACCAGCTTCTCAAGATCAAAGGCTCTTCCCTGTGATGTCGGGTATCAGATCGTCATCATTGACGAAGATGGTACGTTATGTACAGGGATCTAGGGTTGAACATGTTCTGTATGCGTACACAAAAAAGGTTTGTTCTTTGGCTGGATCGTAGTCGAGATTGGTTCCGGGGGGTGATTATCAAGCCTCAGTGGGGGTTTAAGCAGCCCTTCCATTTAGGCGGAAGATTCTTTCCAATTGCTGTGAATGGAGGCTCCGAGCACCTGCCTGTTGGTTGCACACTACGATACAGACCAAAGCAGGCAGGTACCTAGGTAGGCAAGCATCAGTCGCATCCATCTTACCTGCCTTACCAACTTAAGGTACTAGAGTTTCCATGGGAGTTACTTGTGGACTACCTGGCCTTTACCACTGAGGTAATTGGTGTTCCAGGGCAATTCTGAGTAAGATATTATGGGCGGAATCTCATGATGTTGCTTGAAGTTGCTGGCCTGGTTGGTATACGCAAGGTACCTAGGGTGAAACCGGGTTGTCCAGCTATCATCACTAAAGGCAACTTGCAGGTGAACAAGGATTCGTGGCGTGTCCAGCATCAGAATGCACTGCAATTGTTGGAATTTGACCTTTTTAGTGCTGGGAATCATGATTCTTTTGTGTCACTCATTACACAGACGGAGTCTCGCAGGGACCCGACTGGCGTTAAAAATCTATCCGCCGCTCGAGATCTTACGGCAAAAAGGGCAATCAAGTGGAGTGGACCTCGGGCTTCCATATCGCTTCTTAAACTTTGATTCCCGTGGAGCCTCACGCGCCTCGCCTCGCCTCGAGTCTCTCTCTCTCTCCCTCTCAGACCAGTCTGATTCTTATACCGAATCCACGCCCATGGTGGCTCCCATTTTTAATTCAAATCCTGAGACTGATTCACCGATCCTTGGCTATGAGCCCCAATCACTATACGAATAGGGCTTCTGTCTAACACGCTGCCCTGATCAATAATCGATCCATCCTTCGAACAACTCACACCTCATTCTAATCTCCGCGGTGTCTCCAAACACACACGCACACAGACACACACACACAAACCCTGACAGCTCATTTTTTTTTAAACCTTACAAACAAGCCTTGATCGTCTCTTTATCACCCTTGATTGTTAGTTTCTCCGGTATCTTTTCCGAGCTGAAAATATTCGCATGTTCGATAAATACTGTATCACAGGTCAGGCCAGCTCACTCAACCCTGGACGACTTCCTTAGTATCTCTTCCACCTGAATTCTAAGCTTCAGGTATCAGATACAAAATTCCTTATACCGCAGCTACCCCGCTGCCTAATATAGCTTGAGACTTTGCTCAAGCTTGTTCAACGACCCCCCGCTCCTCTTCCATGACAGTCTTCTCTGCAACCAAATCGTCATTGTCGAAACCAAGAAACTTCTATTAGGCGTTAATCAAGCGGCGTCACATTGGCGTTGGACTGGCGCGAATATTCCTCCACTGGACCACGCCAGCACCAACACCAACAGACCAACACTGTACAGCACAGTCAGTACATACAGCAGCGAGGCACTTGACGCTTGAGTCCGTTCAATGACTGCTTTCTCGATAATCTGACCTGCCTTACCTAATTGTACTTCGACTCGACATATTGGCTATCACTGAAACGTCACCAATGCCCCGCGTGATATCTATCGCTTCATCGTTTTGACAGCCTCCTGCAACCAACCAACCAACCATCACTCCCGCCTTTGGGATACCATCCGCCACCTATAATTCAGTTTCTTATGCCATGAAGCGGACAGAATGGCTTTTCAGAGCAGCGTTCTTAGAGATGGCGAGTGGGTGACGCAGACCGTCAACTTTCAAGATGCCTTGAAAGCTTCTTCCACCACACCCAAAGTCGCCTCAGATCCAAGTCTCAAGGCACCTGAGTGTGGAATACTCTCTAGGACTATCATTGAGAGCCCTGTCGTTCATTGGATTCTCCCAGTTTGCTTACGATCGCGCTCTCACAACGATATCGCATTCATTGGTGTAAGTCTCTTGTTTCATCCACAGCCTTCATATCCAAACCCCATGTGCTGGCGTCATCCCTGGCTGTGGCCATTTAGACTGCGATTAGAGATGCCGCGGGCTTACAGCTTTCTGGTTTACTTGTCCATAAATGTCCGAGCTTAAGCTCGATATTGCTCCTCAAACCCTTGTCCATATGCTGAGTTGTTGCTAACTAGCCCAGGATCGCTTCGTCCAAATCAGCGAACTCCGCGATGACGGACAAGTGCATGAGGTTATACGAAAAGCTGACTTTGGCACACGAATCCGAAATGCGATAGTTCTGGGATGTCCGCCCAAAGGAGACATCCCTGGGGCAGCCGCTGCTTCAATCAAGACCGAAGACGCTGATGTTCCTATGAAAGATGTTGCAGAGGCCAAAGAAGCCAAAGAAGCCAGTGAAGGCAAAGAAGCCAGTGAAGG